AACTTCAATGCACTTTTTATTGTAATCAAGAACTGATTTTGTTGTTTTGTTTTAAACATATCATGGGAAGATCTGAAAAGTCAAAGTTTAGTTTAGCACTGACCAATATATTTTGCAAGATTTTGGTTAACAAGTAATTAACTTATATTGGTATTAATAAGTGAGTATAAAATTATATTCAATTCAGTTCACCTATATTAAGGTATTTGTATTAGAATACTATTAAGTGAAATTTCAGTTCACCGAAATTATTGTTCAACCAAAATATGGCTATTCAAAGGTGCCAACCCCAATCCACCAAACCCATAAACCAAAATGTGGAATATATTACTGCCTCTTTTTTAAATATGTTAATAAAAATTATCAAAGAGATAATTAGCCTCAAAACATGTAATTTATAATACTATCTTCATTCCGGCTTAAGCATCTCATTGAATTGAAAAATGGTACAATTATTTAGACAATAATTTAAATAATGGTATTAGCTAGCTAGATTACATTTTGAAAAGTAGTGTTGATGGATATATAATATAATGAGATCATCACCCTATAATGAGATCATTGATGTTAACTTTGATATTATGGGTGTACTTTTTTTAATGTTTGCTGATTAATTTTATCATTAATTTTATCTAAAATAGAAATGGAAAGCTTTAAATAGGATAGATGTCCAAAAGATGTAGGTGATAAACTCGATCAAGCTGAGATGTAGAGAGTTTAAAAGCATTTCAACATAAGAAAAGAATTATAGGGAAGTTCGTAAGGGAGGAGGAAACGTGTGTGTATACATACAGTATAATACTGTATAACCTATATACATTAAAATATAATATAAACCACCATGAATCCGATGACCCAGTTCTTGAGCTGGTAGGCAGATTATAAACATGTATATATAGGTTATCAATTGTGATAAAACTTTCTTAAATCCCAAACATCATCTAGTAATTAACTAAAGTGCCAAGAAACAGTTTGAAGCTAGCTAGGTACTTTTCTACGTGTGCTTCAATAATTCAACCATTCTTATCCAGTTCAATCAAGCTTTAGTTTCTACATACCCTTTAATTCTGTCCCCTTCATTTACTGATCAAAGTTTTATATATATTCTATGCAGTACAATTCTATTTCTCATTGTGTATAAAAGCATAAAATTTCCATATCAGTGTGAGTTCATATTCTTTTTAGTACTGTATATATATGGTAGCTGCTGTTGATTTTATTGATTCTTGATTTCATGGAATCAACAAAAAACATATGAAGTTATATTTGCTTTTATGTTGTATGTGTGCTGTGATGTTTAGTTCATAAGCTGATACCAAAATAGGAATCTTAAATATGGGGTCATGTAATCAGATCTAAAGTTGTCATGCATAAAATTTTCAGAAAAGAGGAATATTCTTTGGCACAGAATAAATCTTATGGTCTGAGGTTTCTTTGATTAGAACTCTAGAATCATGGCTACGTTCTTTGTCGTTGTTTTGTTTTTTATATATGTGATTCTTATGCACGTGTTTTTATGTATGTATGCATATATGTCGTGATCACGCCCGCAGATGGTTTCGTATCATCAGGCCATCATGAACATGGGCTCTGCAACAACTCAATTTGGCCCAACAAGAACGATGAACAGGTTATACGAACCGTTCCAGGAGATTGGCTGGGAGGAGACACTAGGAGGGGATGTCATCCATGGGTTGAATAATACATGCTTGGTTACACATCAAACTGCAGGAGTGGAGGATAATAAGGTATTAAAACCCGCCTTTCGAGAGTACTTGAATCGAAGCCGTTGAAAGTGTCTGACTTTTCGCTTAATTTGATTTCCACTCGCAGTCCGAGTACACTTCTAGTGATTCAGCTGCGGCACCTTTTGCCTTTGGGGATAATCAAGCAACACATAGCATTACAGCTGACAAGGTGCTAATGATGCTCTTTAGTTCCCATGCCTCCTAGTGGTGTCTGTTGTTAGAAGTCATACCAGTATACTGCATCAAACAAATATAGATAGCAAATAAACGTATATGTTTTGGGTTACTCTTCCTATAAAGTACATTTTTTACAATAAAACTTTCCTGGGGTATGAAGCCTATGACTCCTATGAGTTTTTTTTTAAAGCATTGTATATATTGTATATAGGCATCTCACTTTACCCCACCATAGGTGGAGCCTTTGCGGCACTGGCGTAATGTTATTGTTATTGTTGTTGTTGTATATTGTAGAAAAGCATCATATGTAGGCGTTTATTATTTGATAGGTGCAGAGACGTCTAGCTCAAAATCGCGAAGCTGCTAGGAAAAGTCGCCTTAGAAAAAAGGTATCACAATGTAATGTTTGATGATGTTCTTTGCTTACACAATGCATACAGGGATGGATCCGATCCGCGGCACCAAGTCATGGAAGGGTGTAATTGTAACCATAATCGGCTATACGCAATGGTTCCGAGTCTGTCCTGTTTTGGAAGTAACAGAAATGGACCAATCTATGGTACTGATTAAGGTTGGGACCATTATAAAGGCCAGATGCGGGACCTGGTCCATCCCTTGTTGAAAATCTGATATAATATGTGTGCCATCTTTGGTTCCTGTATGATCGTTTGTATGAATTTGTACACTTCTTGCAGGCTTATGTTCAACAATTAGAAACTAGCCGTGTGAAGCTAACACAGCTTGAGATGGAGCTTCAGCAAGCCAAGCAACAAGTAAGATTTGCATATTCGGTTGAATAACACTTGATATTTCATCTCAAAAGGTCAATCTAAATGATCCGACGTGTTTTTGAATCACTTCATTAAGGGACTACATATTCTAGGTGCCACCCGTAGCATAGCAATGTGCGGAGCGATTAATCCAGGTATGCAAATATAAGCTCCGCCGATCAACTCACACCCTACCTAACACAACCAGTGATGATCAGCTAATGCTGCTAAAAATATACATATGTAGGAATTGCTGCATTTGAGATGGGCTACGCACAGTGGGTAGAAGATCAACAATTGAGAAATTCAGAGCTCAGAATTGCCTTACAATCAAATATGCATGACACAGAGCTGCAGTTATTAGTTGACAGTATCTTAAACCACTATTACTGTCTCTTCCGGATGAAAGCTGATGTTGCGAAAGCGGATATATTCTACTTAATATCAGGAATGTGGCAAACGCCAGTCGAGCGGTTTCTCCTTTGGCTTGGAGGATTCAGACCATTAGAACTTATCAACGTAATAATCCTCATGTGATTTAGTCTCTCTTTTAGCAATATCACCTGTTAAACTATCTCACATCGGCAATTATAAAAATACCCAAACTAACATGTATAAGGTTTTGTACAACTCTACCTATGAGTTAACGAATTGAGCCTTTTAATATCACCCACCATATATGGACATGGAATTTCTAACCTCATTATTTAACTTTAGAAGTCAAAGACTAATACAGCATCTCTTATATGTTTGATTCATTTTTTTAAATGATTAAAGAAAAGATGAATGTACAAGAATGCAGGTGATATTGCAGCAAATTACACCCTTGAGTGAAGAGCAGTTATTGAGTGTGTATGAACTGCAACTGAGTTGCCAACAGGCCGAGGACGCCCTCACACAAGGAATGAATAAACTGCAACAATTCCTGTCCCAAAGCGTGAGGATGATAAGCGCTGGAGCAGGAAGTTACAACACTCAGTTGGTGACTGCTTTGGAGAAATTACTAACACTTGAAAGCCTAATCAACCAGGTGGACTCTCACTAGCTCTTCACACAGTATTTTATTGTTTGTTTCATAAGAGTAACACAGTAGATCAAACTACAGTCAGACTACTTTAGTTTGATCTCTCTCTCGGTTCTAGCAGAAGTCTCAAACACAAAACAACTGTCATTCTTTTTAGGGGTTTTCCTTTCTAAAAAACCATAACCCATGGACGAGCTACATTCAATATGAAAATACAGTCACATTGCATGATAAAATAGAACATCATCATGGTCATCGACTCACCAGCCACCCTACAAATATCATCATCATGCAATAAAGGATGTTCTTTTGTCCATTACTTTTCTTTTAGTCATATACTCTTTTATTTTAGTCATATACTCTGTATATGTTACTACGTTGTATTTCTTTGATAAATGAACATTGTTGTTCTTAAAGTACACCCCACATCAAATTTACCCATGTATCACCTAAAATATAAGTCATATAAGAAATAAAACTTATCAACTACTCCCACCAGCCCACCAAATGTGTGGGAGCCTTTGCGGCACTGGGCTAATGATGATGATGAACTGCTCCCACCAGCCCAAATTAGTTGTTGTTTTACACTAGTCCACGAATATTACAAAATGACATGTCTATCCCTATGAAGTTAAGCAATAAATGCTTCTTAGATCTTTTGAAATGCAGAATAACATTCAATATGGAAAAGGTCAATGGAGGAAATATTTGAAAATCAACACTTACACAAATGCATTGAATTTGTAGAACTACAATTATTTTGAACCAAAAAATATTAGCTCAAATATTTTGGAACGGATGAAGTTAGTTTTAGAGTTACTCATATTCCACCTCTCATATATGCTGTTGAAATTAATTCTACTAAAATGTAAACATGTTGTTTTTCATTCATCCGAACAGGCAGATAACCTCCGGCAGCAGACATTGCAGCAGATGTGCCGCATTCTAACAACCAAGCAAGCAGCGACGGGGCTGCTCGCATTTGGAGACTTCTACCAACGCCTCCGTGATCTGAGTTCCATCTGGGCTGCCCGCCCTTGCGAAACCTATAACTAATTTTATGGCAACATAACTTCGCTGCCACGCTTTTTCCCAAATTGACCCAGCCCCGCTTAGAACATTGTAGCAAACTACATTTGCCATTGTTAGTAACTTATGCTTGTACTATGCTGTTATTGCCCAAGCTGACATCGTAAAAGGACCATATGTAAATTACAGGGTAAGAATGTGCTTCTTAATGTATATAATAAAGTTTAATAATTCAGAAGAATTCTCATAATGTGAAAAAGCTTGTTGAATTTGCATATCTGAAGAATAAGCCGATATTGGTACAAGATAAGTATATTGACAACATGATTAACTCCAATATTCCATTCATTACAACATTCGTGATTTGCAGCAATTATGATTAAATAAGTAAATTGGAAAAAGGAGAGGGAGGGGTTAATTATACGGCCAACCGAATGTCTTTGATCTCGAGCTGAGCAGCAATGTCCTGAAGCTGCTTCTTTACACTCATATCCACTAATTTGGACCCAGAATCTCCGAACCGGATTGTGAACCCGGCCACCAGAGACGGGTCAATCACGGTCTTGATTCGAACATTCTTAGCTCCGGTTAGCCGCTGAACGCCCTTCGCGATCTGCGCCAGGTGCTGCGAGTCCAGCTTCACCACCGAGGTCACAACCGCCAGCTCCGTCTCCGTCGCCTGGTTATACAATTCCTCGAACTCCTTCACGATGTCCTTTATCAGCTCCATTCGATTCATGTCCAACAGGATTTTCAGGAAATTGACCGTGTGCGGCTGGAGCTCCGACGACTCGGCGATCTCATCGAGTACCGACCGCTTATTCTCATCTCTCATCACAGGACTGGCGAAGAAATCGAACACCGAATCGTCGGAGAAGATCTTCTCGATCTTCCCCATGTCCGCTGTGGTTTGTTCCAGAGTTCCGTTCGACATGGCGACATCGCAGAGCGCGGAAGCGTATCTTCCGGCAGCCGTGTCAGCCATTATGGCACCAAGCACACCGCCGCCGGCGCGGCGGGAGAGTCTTCTGGAGGGAGACTTGATAGTGAACTTCGGAAGCCTCAGGCCTCCAGAGAAGGAGAGCTTCGCCGTCGGCGCGGCGAGAATTTTAGTGGACGGCAGCGAGGACGAGTAGAATGTAAACGACGTTCGTTGGAAAGCCGCCATTTCTTCTTGGGGGGAGAAGACGAAGAAGGATTGCAGCTTGAAGTGAGGATATGCGGGGAAAAGGAATTTATGTAAGGGACGGTGAAGATTGGGAAAAACGTGGTGATCGACGGAGGAAAAGGGGTAGCTAATCTCGTGATCCCAGAATATCCTGACATCTTATCTTGAGTGCTATAAGGAGTTCACACGTGTGTGACTCACATTAAGCCAGTGCCTTTTTATTTTGAGAAAGTTCCCGAAATAGGAGTATAGGACCAAAAACATTTGTAAATTACAATATATAATTGTCATGTTTTTATTCATAAAATAGGAGTAACTATTGCCAAGTTTGGAAATATTATCATGTTTAAAGTCTGATATTGTCAAAACATGACAGTAATTAGTCTTATTTTGATAATAAAAAACACGATAATTCTATTTTGGAATTTACAAACGTTTTTAGTCTTATTTAGGATAAATTCCCTCTTACTTTTTGTTATCTCATTCTTGATCCAAAGGTGGAATCTCCCACCCCCAGACATCCCACGCCCGGATCCGACAAAGCAGATAGGAGGATGTAAAATGTAAATCAAGATGACTTAGAAGCTGTTCTGTTCATGTTAATCTTATTACTTATTGCTTATTACTATTTTATTCAGATCAGATCAGATCAGAAAAATTCAGATCAGATCAGATCAGATCAGAAAGATTCAGATCAGATTAGATTAGATCAGATCAGAAACATTCAGATCAGATCAGGAACATTCAGATCAGATCAGGAACATTCAGATCAGATCAGAATAGTTCAAACATGATTTATCCCTTTTATTATAATAATAATTATAATAATATTAATTATTATTATTATTATTATCATCATCATTATTATCATTATTATCATTCTTATCATTGTTATTATCATTGTTATTATCATTGTTATTATTATTGTTAATATTATTGTTATTATTATTGTTATTATTATTATTATTATTATTTTATTATTATTCTTGTTGTTATTGTAATTATTATTATAATTACTATTATTATTGATATTATTATTATTATAATTACTATTATTATTGATATTTTTATTATGATTATTATTATTATTATTATTATCATCATCATCATCATCATTATTACTATCATTACTATGATTATTATTATTATTATTACTATGATATTTATTATTTTTATGATTATTATTATTCTTATTACTATTATGGTTGTTGTTGTTGTTGTTATTAGTATTTTTTGTTATTATTATATTACACGGAGTAATTATAATTAAAATTATAGAAATAAATATTATAATTATAAATAAAATTATAATTATAGAAATAATTATAACTAAAAATATAATTACAATTATAATTATAGCTTTTTTTGTTTACTCTAGGAGACGTTTGGGGGAGGGGGTCTGGGGGGGGGGGGGGGGGGGGGCTGAAGTAAACTAGGTTGAAACTCACCCCCATTGAGTTTCGAACCTGAGACCTCCCATAAGGGAGAGTGAGCCGGCGACCAGCTGAGCTGGACTGCTTCCTCTAATTGTAGCTATATTTATAACTAGTGTAATACATATAATAATAATTATACCTATTATAATTATTATAATTATAATTTTTTTATAATTATGATTATAATTATAATTATATTTAAATTATATATGTGTAATTACATTTCTAATTATTATAATAAAAATTAAAATTATAATTATAATTTTAGAAATATTTAAATCAGACCAGATCAGAAGGATTCAGATCAGATCAGAAACATTCAGATCAGATCAGGAACATTCAGATCAGGAACATTCAAATCAGATCAGGAACATTCAGATCAAATCAGGGACATTCAGATCAGATCAGACTAGATCAGAAAGATTCAGATCAGATCAGATCAGATCAGAAACATTCAGATCATATCAGATCAGAACTTAAAAAATTCAGATCAGAAACATTCAGATCAGGTGAAGAGAACAACTTCTTAATCGGTGGAGGAGCAGTAGGCCCATTGGCCCATATGCCTGTGCGCGCCAGAGGTCCAGCCCATTTAAAAGGTTGTGGTCTCCACACGGTCGCTGCGGGGACTCGAACATGAGTTCCTTGATCCAACTTCTCACCATTCAACCAACTGAGCTACCCGTGCGTGTTTGTTGTGAGAAGTTGAGAACCTAGGGTGGCCAAAATGGGTTTAGTAACAGTTTAATCCAATGGTAACCAAATCTAATCTAATTAAATCAAACCAAATTTGAATGGTTTGCCATTCTGATTACACCACTTAAATGAGATATATTGTTTTGAATTTTAATTTACGAAGTAATGTTATATTCTCCACTTAGTGCAATTGCTAATTTCAACATCTGAAAATATTGTAGTTGTAAGGATGTTTTCTTTTGGACTGTTTTCAGTCCCAGGCCGGATCAGATTAGACTTAAACAGACTAGACCAGATCAATCCAGACTTAAACAGACCAGACCAGACTTCTGTAGTTATTAAATACACAGAGACCATACGTTTACCAGACCAGACCAGATCAGTTCAGACCAGACCAGACCAGACTTAAATAGACCAGACCAGACCAGACCAGACCAGACCAACAAATTTCAGTCTAAAAGAAAACATCCTAAATATAGGTTAATATTCTTGATTTGTGTCAATACTTATTATGCACACAAGCTTGTACATTATTTTTAAAATGTTGTACTAGCTTTTCTTAAGGACAATAATAACATTACCGTGTTAAAAAATTAACTTTGTCAAGTCACATTCTTCTAATAGTAATGCATTATTACTACATTATTACTGCTTTTAGGATGTTTTCTTTTGGACTGTTTTCAGTCCCATACCAGACCAGATCAGACCAGATCCGACCATACCCGACTTAAACAGACCAGACCAGACCAGACTTGGATAGTTATAAAATACACAGAGATCAGATGTTTACCAGACCAGACCAGACCAATTCAGATCAGACCAGACTTAAACAGACCAGACCAAACCAGACCAGCGAATTTCAGTCCAAAAGAAAACATCCTTACTACCTCAATGAGTTTTAAGATATGTAGCACCGATACCGGTACGCGGAAACGCGGAAACGGGTACGGGGATACGTCAAAACCAAAAAAAGTAGGATACGGATACGGGGCCATATTTATAAATATTAAAAATTATGGGGGTGTATTTACAAATATTAAAAGTTATAGGGGTCTATTTATAAATATTAAAAATAGATTTTTTTTGAAAATATATATATACACATATAATATCTTATGATGTCTATCCATTCATTGCATTGAAGCATTTTCCTTTTTCAAGATACTTAGTAATAAATTCCTAATATTTCTCATATATACTAGTGCATCTCGAAATATAAATGTAGTCAATAAGTCATTAATTTAAAATGAGAAATAAGTCAAACAACTACAATATTGAAATTAAAAGTGCAAGTGCCCAATTCGGAGTATGAGTTAATGACTTAATTCGGATATAGCCATGTAGGCCCATTATTTGATTGCCAAGTAAAATGTAGTTTTAGATTTTCATTTTTTTTACAATTTTATTAAATAATTTTTGAGATTTTTTTTAAAAATTTTATACGGGTATCCGTCAGGATACGAGTATCGGAAACTTTCAAAAATTTACAAAAAAAAATGGAAACTTTTAAAAATTGCAGATACGGCCCGGGAACGTACGGGTATCCTAGAGTATCGGAAACGGGAACGTATCGGATACGCCGATACACTACCCTAGGGAAGTATCCGTGCTTCATAGGTTTTAAGTATAATCCTACGCGCATGAATACGCTAGGTTCAAATAAAACATGGAGTTATAGAGTAATAACAGGTACTAGGTTACTATCATGATTAGTTTGGAAAATTAGAAATCAGTAATGGTTCAAAGAGTGGAATGTTTGAGTAGAATAAGTAGTGTCTGTCTGGATTAAGTGACACTGATATAACAAACTGTTTACTATATGTGCTGAATGAGATGTCTGAATTCTGTTAAATGACCAAATAACCCTCGTGTCTAGAATAGTACTGAATGTATACTGTCTGTTTACTTTCCTTGTTCTGAATGATAATTTCTTGTCTGAAAAACATTATATTATGAATTACTTAAATAAAAGAGTCACATTACATTATAAAAAAGTCAAGAATTTTACACCAATATTTTAAAGTTACTAGTCTTTCATCTCGGAAATTTGACATTTACAATACTACCCAAATGTACAAAACTGTTTTTTTACCAAATCATGTTTCATTTACACAATAAAAAATAATTCCTTTTTATAATACGAGTATCTCATCAGTACAAATAAAAACATTCCAAGAAAATATAAGTTATATATCATCAAAATTCATAATCAATATACAATATAAATTACAAGAAAACAAGCACACGCTTCCCATTGCTTAATGCATGACTATAAACTACATTTATGTTAACAGCTTCAGTGGACATCTATCTTTGAACTTGAGCTAGTATTGCTCATGCATTGTCTCTATCCTTTTCCAATCTTGCAAATTACGGCATGCAGCGCAATGCTGCCAAAATAACATTATGAAGATTATATGGTGCAGAACATGAACAAGTACTCCCTCCACCCAAATTCCCATTTCTGGTTAAATTGATCTTTTTTATAGCGTCCCCCCCCCCCCCCCTCCCCCATTTCCCTTTAATTTAATCATTGTCTTTAACTTAGTGTGTTTGTGATTGTTTATACTCAAAAAAGTGATTCTTTAAAGTAATTTTGGAAAAAGAACTTAACAGTATAAGTTGATAGTGTTTGTGAAAAAAAGTGCTTCTAAGAAAGTAAAAGCTAGTAGTGTTTGATAAAATAAGTGTTTTTTGTGTAATAAAAAAGGTGAAAAGGAGTTTCAAACACCCCTCGACTTCCTTCCAACTTTTAGCTTTTAAGTGTTTAATTTAAGCAGAAGATGTCACTTGAAAACACTAATTTCAGATTTTTTTTTTTTTAAAACCAAAAGCTGAAAAGCACTTTTTTAAATTTTTCGCAAACATTTCTTTAATTGATATTATGAAATTTTGAGTGAAGCAGCTGAAATTGTGGTAGCACTTAAATTAGTTGAATCGTCTAATTTTGTTGGAATTTATAAAGTTCTGGCTGAAGTGGCTAAATTGGCTGATTCTTGCAAAT